TATGTTAAAGTACACGTTTTTTCTTAATTAGGGATAAGCATCGAGAACTTAATACGTAGCATCAACGTTTCTTGTAAGTGTTTATTACTTAACCCTTTGAGCACGGAGCTATTTCGACATATGGGCGAAATTCGTCTGACCGTGCAAGCAATATTGGACGAAACGTCGGGCGCCTTTAGGCGCTCTTAGTAGCCGAAGGGTTAAGAGGATATTTCCTCGGGAAGTTATGAATTTAAATGCTCGAAATCACGTGAAAATTGGCTGAAAATCGTAAGCAGAAGTCACTAGAAATCGTTGAAAATCACCGAAACGAAGATACAATTTTAAAGCCGTACGTCACTCGTTATCGAATCGCATTGTCGTTTATCATGTGCAATCGAAGACGATCGGTTCTCAAAGAAGGAAATCGTATCACTGATTTTGGAGTGAAAAGCCCCTCAACGTAGAGAAAAAACCGCAGGTTGATAAATGTTTAATATTTTTACATCTACTACTCTATGCCCATTAGATTTACGTGTATAAAACGTGAATTTCACTACTTTATGTTTACTGTGTTCTCGATACAATAAAATATCCAAAGCTTGTAGTATGAACATTTATTCGCATTTTTCCTGTACAAAACGTAACTAGCATTACGTATTTGTACTCAAATTTACGAATTATGCATTTATGTACATTGAGAAGAAATTTCGTTGATTCAAAGAAAATTATTTCTTAGAAGAATACTCATTTGAATCAAATATCAGTGCTTGGGTAGAAAGAACGTGTAATTACCCCAAAGAAATATTAATGTTTCATTTGAAGAAATAATAATATTCTACAAATTTTATTAAAACTGTCACACGTTTAATTACAATAAATAGTGGTGGAATATTTCGTTCGATCTATTAAAAGAAATGGTTTCTTAGGTATGAAGACATATTTCATTTCATTGAGTTAAGGAAAAAAATCTTTTCTTTTTTCAAGGAAATTATTTCTTTGAATTGAGTTATTGAATTAGAAATACAGTTTCAATTTCTTACTGAATTATCATAAGATATGAAGATCAATGCAATGCGTTAAGTTTAAACATTTCGCACTTTTCAGCGAAAACCATATTTCTTTGATTTTATACTACAGTTTCTTTAACTTCATCCAAAGAAATAATTTCTCAGTGTATTAAATGACTAATGTTTAGCGAACCGCGAATAGCGCTAGGGACGAATTTGCGAAGAGTAATTAATTCAATAGAATGTAGATAATTAATTCAATAGATATGAAGTATTCGATCAATGCAATGCATCAAGTTTAAACATTTAGTATTTTTGAGCGAAGACCATATTTCTTTGATTTTATGTTACAGTTTCTTTAACTTCATCCAAAGAAATAATTTCTCAGTGTATTAAATGACTAATGTTTAGCTAACCGCGAATAGCGCCATGGACGGATTTTCGAAGAGTAATTAATTAAAATTACACATCACGCCGATTAATATACCAAGGCGATAAGTCGAGACCAAAAAGTTTGTTGAATCATGCACGACTAGCGATATCGAGGGATCACGAGACATCAATTATTAACTCTTTCTTTTATTCTCGTCTTAAAACTCGCGAAGAAACCGTAATTGCGCAATCATTTCCAACTCCCGGTGGTTTACTCCCAACATAAACGTCTGCGCCCTACGAATGTTGTTACCGATGTCATTTCAATCCTATTTCGAAAACATATACCAGACATATCCATTAAAATGCACAGTTATAAGGAAACTAGAATAAATTGTAATAAAATGCAGTTGTAATTCAGTTCAGCACTCAAGCCTTCCATACATCCCAGCCGATATTAATAAAAAAGCTAGGCAGGGTTTTGCGCCAAATGACTAATACATCCGTACGTTTCCTTATCAAGGTGGTATGAAAGGGTCATTCGATATATATAAACCGTCAAAATATTTATTAAACTTTTCCCCAAACGGGATGCACCGAATCGATAGAAACTTCAGCACATGATTATGAAGGCCCTAAGGAAGAACGCACTGCTCGTGAAATTTCATTTTCCTCAAAAAAAAAAAAAGAATGTGATCTCGGTTCAAATCTAGGATAAACGAAACAAATTTTTGTTTGAAAAATGAAATTTTCGGAGCATCACGTTCTTCTTTAGGGCCTTCACGATCACGTCCTGAAGTTTCAAACGACTCGGTGCACCCAGTTTGGAGAAAAGTTTTATAAATAATTTCACGTTTTATGTATATAAAATGACCCTCTCATCCCACCTTGAAAATACCACTTCGAGTATACGATTGCTTATCATAATCCCGGAACACCTCGTTTTATTAACCTATCTTTAGTGTTAAGAATATTAAAACATAAATACGGGACGATCGCTCCTTGAACCACAGAATGATCTATGCATGCGAACTTTGAAGAAATTCCGAAAACACCTCATTTTATTAACCTATCGTTAATGTTAAGAATATTAAAACATAAATACGGGACAATCGGTCCTCGATCCTCGAGATGATCTATATGCGCAAACTACGAAGAAATTCCGAAAATACCTCGGTTTATTAACCTATCCTCAACGTTAAGAATATTAAAACATAAATACGGGACGATCGGTCCTCGATTCTCAACATGATCTACATGCGCAAACTTCGAAGAAGTTCCAAAAACACCTCGTTTTATTAACCTATCCTTATATCTTAAAACATAAATACAGGATGGTCGCTCCTCGATCCTCGAGATGATTTGCATGCGCAAACTTCGAAAAACTTAAAAAAATACCTCGTTTTATTAACCTATCCTTAATGTTAAGAATATTAAAACATAAATACGGGACGATCGGTCCTCGGATTCTCAACATGATCTACATGCGCAAACTTCGAAGAAGTTCCAAAAACACCTCGTTTTATTAACCTATCCTTATATCTTAAAACATAAATACGGGATGATCGCTCCTCGATCCTCGAGATGATCTGCATGCGCAAACTTCGAAAAACTTCAAAAAATACCTCGTTTTATTAACCTATCCTTAATGTTAAGAATATTAAAACATAAATACGGGACGATCGCTCCTCAATCCTCGAAATGATCTACACGCGCGAACTTCGAAGAAATTCCAAAAATACCTCGTTTTATTAACCTACCCTTAACGTTAAGAATATTAAAACATAAATACGGGACAATCGGTCCTCGATCCTCGAAATGATCTACACGCGCGAACTTCGAAAAACTTCCGAAAATACCTCGTTTTATTGACCTATCCTTAACGTTAAGAATATTAAAACATAAATACGCTCCGCAGGATGATCTACGCATGAGAACTCGGAAGAAATTCGAAAAAGTGGAATTCGTTCGGAGAGTCGGCTCGCGTAAAGAGAAGTCTACGTAAGAGAGCGCCACCCTTTGGCGCGCGCCCGGAGGCTAACGGTGCCGGTCTACGTGCGCTACGTGCCCGCTGGTCACGTAGTCGTGAGCCGCCTCGATACTCTCGATACCAATGCCGCGGGTCGACCTATCGGCGAGGCTGCGCGCGGGAGTAGGAGCGGGTCTCGCGGCCGCGCACGGAGAAAGGCTCCCGCAGCATCGCGCCAATGGTACGTGCCATCGAGCGGTGCCGGCGCGGCGTAGGAGGGACGTCCGCGCTCTTCCCCGACGAAACGGACGAAACGGACAAGAGAGACGAGAGGGGGGGGGGGGGGGGGGTCGAGTCGGTCGATGAGGAGGAAGACGGAAGAGACGGAGACGCGTCAGAGGCGGAAGCTCGGCCGATCGAAAGGACACGGAAAGAAAAGTGGGAGGGAGCCGCGAAAACGGTCGTTGAAAAGTCGATATCGTCCCTGACCGTTTAATAGATACGTCAAGCTTAACGCATTCGCAACGGGCTATTTTTCAAAGGTTATAATTTAAGAACGAGAACTTTCGTTTCATATATCAATTGTGAAGGCATATCAAATTTATATATCAATTGTGAAGGCATATATCAAATTTATATAACAATTGTGAAGGCATATCAAATTCATATATCAATTGTAAAGTCATACATAAAATGCATATATCAATTGTGAAGGCATATCAAATTCATATATCAATTGTGAAGTCATATATCAAATTTATATAGCAATTGTGAAGGCATATCAAATTCATATATCAATTGTGAAGACATATATCAAATTCATATATCAATTGCGAAGACATATTAAATTCGTATATCAATTGTGAAGGCATATCAAATTCATATATAAATTGTAATCATACATCAAATTCATGTATCAATCATGAAGTCATACATCAAATTCATATATCAATCGTAGTCATATATAAAGATTTGAAAATATCTATAAAACTTTTCTCCAAACTGGGTGCACCGTATCATTAGGAACTTCAACACGTGCTTGCGGAGGTCCTAGGGAAAAACATAGTGCTAAGGAAATTTCATTTCTCTGAGAAATATGTACTCTTGTTTCTAGTCTGGGATAAATGGAAACATCCTTATATAAAAAATGAAATTTTGCGAGCACCACGGTTTTCCTTAATCCTCCATAATCATATACCGAAGTTTCGAACTACTCGATGCATCCAGTTTGAAGAAAAGTTTACTAATCCCAGAATGGCTCCTTCGCGTCACCTTAAAGGAACATCGCCAAACTCTGGATGTCGAGTTCTTCCCCGTGATTTCGCGCGATACGTCCATAGACAAATAGTACGTACCTCCGAATCCGCGGCCCGACTCGGCGGAGCGAATCGGGAGGGGGGAGCGGGTGGCCGGCAGGTGCGCGAGAGAGAGGCATGCCAGGGCGCGAGGGAGACCGCCCCGCGCGGGGTGGGGACGGAGCAGGTAGGGCGCCGGGGTGGGGGCCGGCCGAGAGGAGCGAGGGGAGGGGAGGGCCCGCTCGGTCGGCCGCGGGGAGGGGATGACCGCGAGAGACAGGTGAGAGAGAGGAGAGGAGGCGGTGCCGGGGGCGGAGGGGGAGAGATGAGCCGGCGCAGGTTGAGAGAAATTGTCAGAACCGGCGGAGACTCACTTCTCCGCGGCTAGTCGGATCGGCGAGACCGCTCTCCTGGACCTCGCAACGCTCCTCCCTGGCCCCTCTGCCGCGGGGGCGCGACGTCGGCTCCTCGCAGACCACTCGGACCGGTGGAAGGTGCAAGGTGCAAGGTGGGGTGCCGGGGTCGGGACGTTTCGGCGTCGAGAGCAACGGCCGTTGCGCATTTTGAATTCGCGCGAACGAGGACGAGAGTACGCGGTGTCGCGAGTGCGGGTTTAGTTGGCATGCAGCCTCGCCGATGGACGCCCTGGGCGCCTCGCGGGGGTGACTTGCCCCTGGATTTCGTTCGGCGAACCGTGAGTGGTGACATGGGTGACTAGGCGACCTGGCGAGACTCCGGGTTCGACCGGTCACCTCGGAAAGACTGTTCGGCCGGTTTCCGGTGATCGAAGAAGAGGCTGATCGCTATCGGCGGCCGGACCGGCATGGATTACTCCACGAAAGGTACGTCGAACGGTCTACGTGGTGAAACGATATATCTCGGCCTGCGCTCCGATATGCGTATACGCGTTGCGGAAAACTCTCCGAAATGGAAAATATACGTGAAATTCCCATCTTGGTGGGGCCCCGGGGGGAGAAATCAATTGTAACTACCTGGGAGGACGGCTTCGCGTTGGCCTGATCGGCTCGTCGTGCGAAATGCCGGATAGGAAATGTCCTTTAACGTCTTGCGTGATATTTTCGTTTTAACGCTCGGGAAATGAAGGATCTTGAGTGGCGGGGATTTTTAACGTCGATTCGTGATTCCCGACGGTGGAGGGAGCTTCGGGAAGCTCCACTCGGCAGATGATTACGTGACGCGAGATCGGAGGATCGGGCCAGATAATCGGATAAATAAGCTCGAAAAGTGACGCACTGGACGTCCGGAGCTGACGTAACGCCCTCCGGGGATGCGGAGATTCTTTCGAGGTTCCCCGCTCGAGAGACGCTCCATCGGGCTTTATCGCCTTATCGAAGATAGGACGCTCTGGGCCCGGAGTTTAAGGGGGACGGTCGGGAGCACTAGTCGTACCTCCATCCTCGAGATCAGGAATCGGCTCGTATCGGAGGAACTAACGCCAAGGACGACGCGGATATAGGAATTATCGCCCTTCTTCCTTTCCATTTTTCACGGAAATTTTTATCGAAAGGTGTGTTTCATTTCAATCGGCCACAAGATCTGCAGAATTTACTCGGTGGAAGGTAACCTTTCGTTCTACGAAGAGATCTATGAGGCACGACGCTTCTGAAGTATATTAGGTTAAGGTAGCGCGGAATGCAAAGGGTTAAATTTTGTTTTAGAGGCATGGCATCCATCTTTACGAGATAATTATTAACGCTTTATGGAAAAAAAAAGTCGATTATCGGGAAACTCGGTATCCCTGATAGGTGTCGCGATCTTGGACGGCGAAGCGACGCGAAGTCTCGAATTTCTCTAGCGGTTGGTTTAAGGGAAACGGCAGTCGAAGTCTACTCGGATAAGGACCTTTTGTGCTTCAAACTTACCCTTCATTTCAATCGACCACAAGATCTGCAGAATTTATTCAGTGGTTGGTAACATTTCGTTCTCCGAAGTCACTCATGAGGCACGACGCTTCTGAAGTATATTAGGTTTAGGTAGCGCGGAATGCAAAGAGCTGACTTTCGTTTTAGAAGCATGGCACACATCTTTGCGATATAATTATTAACGCTTTGTGAAAAAAGTTGGATTATCGAGAAACTCGGTATCCGTGATAGGTGTCGCGATCTTGAACGGCGAAGTCCCGACTCTCTTAAATGGTCGGTCTAAGGAAAACGGTTGTCGAAGTCTACTCGGATAAGGACCCTTTGTGCTTCAAACTTATCCTTAATTTCAATCGACCACAAGATCTGCAGAATTTACTCGGTGGTAGGTTACCTTTCGTTCTCCGAGGAGATCTACGAGGCATGACGTTTCTGAAGTATATTAGGATAACACTAGAACTACCGGCGGATTTTTTTTGTATAGGATGGGCCGTTTGAAATCAGTCATCTTGACTGGCCTTGGTAATTCTAGCGTTAAGGTAGTGCGGAATGAAGGGTTAAATTTCGTTTTAGAGGAACGGCACCCATCTTTGCGAGATAATTATTAACGCTTTTTGAAAAAAGGTCGATTATCGGGAAACTCGGTATCCGTGATAAGTGTCGCGATCTGAACAGCGAAGCAACGCGAAGTCTCGAATCTCTTCAACGGTCGGTCCAAGGCAAACGGTTGTCGAAGTCTACTCGGATAAGGACCCTTTGTGCTCCAAACTTATCCTTAATATCAATCGACCACAAGATCTGCAGAATTTATTCAGTGGTTGGTAACATTTCGTTCTCCGAAGTGACTCATGAGGCACGACGCTTCTGAAGTATATTAGGTGAAGGTAGCGCGGAATTCAAAGGGTTAAATTTTGTTTTAGAGGAACGGCACACATCTTAGCGAGATAATTATCAACGCTTTGTGAAGAAAAAGGCCGATTATCGGGAAACTCGGTATCCGCGATAAGTGTCGCGATCTGAACAGCGAAGCGACGCGAAATCTCGAATCTCTTCAACGGTCGGTTTAAGGGAAACGACAGTCGAAGTCTACTCGGATAAGGACCCTTTGTGCTCCAAACTTATCCTTAATTTCAATCGACCACAAGATCTGCAGAATTCATTCAGTGGTTGGTAACATTTCATTCTCCTAAGTGACTCATGAGGCACGACGCTTCTGAAGTGTATTAGGTTAAGGTAGCGCGGAATTCAAAGGGTTAAATTTCGTTTTAGAGGAATAGCATCCATCTTTGCGAGATAATAATCAACGCTTTGTGAAGAAAAAGGCCGATTATCGGGAAACTCGGTATCCGTGATAAGTGTCGCGATCTTGGACGGCGAAGCGGCGCGAAGTCTCGAATCTCTTTAACGGTCGGTCTAAGGCAAACGGTAGTCGAAATCTCCTCGGATAAGGACCCTTTGTGCTCCAAACTTATCCGGGAGGGTCGAAACGTTTCGACGACCTTCGCCGAATCTCTGCCGTGTATGGAAAGACGTCCGGCTCGTTCGATCGGAGATTTCCCCGCGACTCATCTTCCTCCTAAACAGATATATAAAAGAAAAAGAGTACATACGAATGTAAACACTCGCGGATGGTCTGCTGGCGCCTCGAGAAATGTCTACGGTTATCTTGAAGTCCACGGATGTGGAAAATCGAGAGGTTTACCGCGAAAGGGGAAAAATGGCGACCGGGGTGCGGCCCTGTATGTCCTCGATTAAATCCTGGATTAATTCGTTGGTACGTGTCATTTCTCTTAGATTTCTGTAAACGTGTTTTAAGGGGAGGCGAAAGTAGCATCTGAGTAGGCTATCTTTCGTGAAACTTTTTTCCGAACTGAGGATACCGAATCGTTCCAAACTTTGCAACCTGAACGTGGAGGACCTAAGGTAGGTCCTGAAACCCATGAAATTTCACGTTTTATACAAAATTGTGAAAATATCTATTAACAAATTGAAAAAAAAAATTGACATTGTCTGAGAGTCAGGGACCTTTTTCATAGGTTTCATATTGACATTGTCAAGTTTGAAGCGACTCGGTACATTCAGTTCGGGGAAAAGTTTCATAAATGAAACCGCTTGCGCATCACCTTAAAACCCCTAAATATGAAAAAGGACCGTCGGCAGACGATTCGTCTCCATACGTCATACTTCAATTTATACGCTTACGGTGTGGCTAATTTTTTTCATAGAAAAGGAAAATACGCGGCCATCTTCTCTTGACGAGGCATCGGAGTCTCCGACGTTTATGCGTCGATCTCTTATCCGTCACCGCGTTAATTAACAAAAGACGTCTGCTTATGCCGTCGAATAACAGCCATTGGCACCGGTGCTTGAGAAGACACGTAATTCAGGTACATGCAAGAGTACTCCACGTGTTCCGTGTACAGTGTGCAGCGCACCGTCACGTAAACACTTGCATGCACGTTTTTTTTTTTTTTTCTGTGTTGCGTCTTGAATGCAGCCGCAATTCATGTTGTGGTCGCGTAACGATTCAAAGCCAGAGCTTCCCGAAGATTTCTCGGATCTCATCCGGGATATCCATCTTAAATCGAAGTACTGACATGAAAACAGGGGAATTAATGTATTAAGGCAAAAACGTTGGTACAAGTTGTCCGTAGGTGAGCCGCGGTTATATAAGAATTTCTTCCCAGTGGACGTTACATGAAATACAGACAAATTTGACATAAAAGCGGTTAAGGTGAAGTGAAACACGTCGAGGAACTTGATCGACGTCGATGAAGAAGATTTTTCTAAATGCCTACGTTGCCGACGTTCGTTTTTATATTGACAGCTGTGTCGAATTATATTGGGTATTGTACCAAATGGAATACTCCACCTGTCGTTTTCGTACATTAATTATAAAGAAATCGAAGTAAAGCGCTACAAGGTGCGGGCCGATATATCGGCTCTGGCACTAAAAGGGTTAATTGCAAAATTTCATCGAGGAGGCGTTCAGTACTAGATCAGAAAAAAACCTAGACGTCTTGGACCCCTAAAGTGGGGATGATTTCAATACGTGGCGTTAGATCACCTTATACTACTTCGTAGGTGTAACTTTCTGTCCTTCGTGAATAACTTTGTGGTGCAGATATGCAGATGCGATTGATTTGGATGCACCCGCAGTTCCGCTCCCCTCAGCGACAAGCGACAGGGTGGTGCTCTCTATTGCATAGTGTCGCAGTGAACTCCTAGGGTGGCTGTGCTCGCTTAAACGGGTGAAATCAGAATTAGGGAGTGGCGAAGAGTCAATAGCTCCCCACGGGTTCCCGTGACCCCTGCCGTGGAAAATTAATCGGCGCGATGAGTTATTACATGGTGTTAACAAGGTTCGATTCGAATTTCATTCGGTTCCACTTGCGCCTGCGCACGATCAGTTGCAACGAGTGTTTCTTTTTTTTTTTTTGCGGAAAACCGATACGAACCTAGCTGTACTTCTTAAGGTGAAGTGAAATACGTCGAGAAACTGAACGACGTCGGTAAAAAAGGTTTTTCTAAATACTTACGTTGCCGACGTTCATTTATATATTGACAGCTGTGTCGAATTATATTTAATATCGCACTAAATGGCATGGTCCACCTGTCGTTTTCGTACAATAATTATAAAGAAATCGAAGGAAAACTCCAGAAATCCTCTGGATTCATGGTTTCTGAGGCCCTAATTCACCGCAGAGGGATCCCCTACGCCATCTGGGATTTCCAAGTCAACTAAATTTTCTCTCTGAGACCTCATATTCCCATCATTTTAGCATAGAAGCGCGTATGACACTTTTTTTACCTTTATTCCATTTAAATGTGAGTTTTTAGATTATCAGACCGTTCTAAATTGTGGTACAATTGTTCTGACTCTTTCGCATCTCATATTAGAGCTCTCAATAATTGGATATCGATCAAAATATGAGAGCTGGACGCCATTCTGGTTCTGGTCA